ACGTCCACTTGCCCCACCGTGAGTTAAAGCCACATGCAGCCCTCACAGGAAGTGGAGACAATGCCAGCACCATGCTCCTCAACTTCCACCACTGTGAGCTCAACAGACTCTTCTCCTTATTCATAGTGTCGGTATCCTTTTTTTCTTTACATGTGTGTATGTGAGAGAGAGAGAGAGAGATGCTGGGTATTGTGCATCCCCAGCCCTTTTTATTTTTATTTTTTTAATTTTTTTAGTTATAGATGAAAACAATATCTTTATTTTTATTTATTTCTTTTTATGGGGTGCTGAGGATCAAACCCAGTGCCTCACACTTGCAAGGCAAGCGCTCTACCACTGAGCTACAGCCCCAGACTCCTTTTTACTTTTTGAAATAGGGTCTCACTAAGTTGCCTTCTGAGTCACTGTTTGTTTGTTTGTTTTGGTAGCAGGGATTGAACCCAGGGGTGCTTAACAACTAGCTACATCCTCAGGCCTGCCTACTTTTTACTTTGAGACAGAGTCCTGCTAAGTTGCTTAGATCCTTACTAAGTTGCTGAGGCTGGTCTCAAACTTTAAATCCTCCTGTCTCAGCCTCCTGAGTCGCTGGGAGGGATTACAGGCATGCACCACTATGCCTGTCATTCAGGTATTCTTCAGCAACAGGAAACCAGTTAAGACATTCATCAGGTGGTGAATGGATAAACCAAATGTGGTTCAGCCACACCACAGAATATTCTTAGCCATGAAAATGAAGCACCAACACCTGCTAAGACAAGAACATGACGCTGAGAAGCCAGAGACAAGAGATCACATGTTGTGAGATTCCACTGATATGGAGTACCCAGAACAGGTGAATTCACAGACACAGAAAGCAAACTAGTGGTTGCAGGGCTGAGGGAAGGGGATGGGGAGTGGCTGGTAATAGGTATGGATTTCATTTTAGAATGATGAGAACATTTTGGAACGAGATAGAGGTCAAGGTTGCACAATTCTGTGAATGTACTAGATGCCTCTGAATTGTTCATTTGAAATGGGTCCATTTTAGGTTATGTAAATTTTACCCCACAAGGTGACCAGAAAAAAAATGCTCTGTGGCTACTTGAGGCTCAGGTGATCAGACAGGTGAGTCTGAGGGCCCAAAACTTAGGGGTGTCTAAGGATGAAGGGGGACAAGGAGGCATGGGCCAGTTGAGGCAAGGAGGGGCGGTCATGTATCAGATCAGGCTGGTCCCTTGGGAATACATTTAGGAACTCAATACTACAGAGGCCTCAACATCTCATTTGGATCTTTGGAAGAAGATCTTGTACAAATTTCCCTCAAAATCCAATCCTGCTGCCGGTTGCAGTGGTGCACACCTGTAATTCCAATGACTTGGGAGGCTAAGACAGGAAGATCCCAAATTCAAGGCCAGCCTTAGCAATTTAGCGAGACCCTGCCTCAAAGTTAAAAAATAAAAATTAAACCCGATCCTCCTTCTGTGGGTGCCATCTGTGTGCCACCTTAGGGTTTTGCCCCTCTGCCCGCATGAGAACCCAAGGGATAAGACATATCTATCATCTGCTCCAGAAAAAAAGTGATTTTCACTAGGATAGTGGAAAGGGAACAGATGGGCATTTCAGAGGTAGTGGAGACATCTTTTAAGAAAGTGCCTCCATTTAGGCAAAGATTTCTTAAATATAACACCAAAAGTATGATTCATAAAAGAAAAATATTGCCAAATGGAATCTCATCAAAATGATAATCTTTTGCTCTATGAAAGATATATTTAAGAAAACAAAAAGACAGAGACTTGGAAAAAATTATTTGCAAATCATCTATCCAATGAAGGACTGGTATCCAGAATAGATTAAAAACTCAAGCTGAGCGCTGTGGCGCATGCCTGTAATCCCAGATACTTGGGAAGCTGAAGCAGGAGGATCACAAATTTGAGACCAGCCTCAGCAACTTAATGAGACTCTGTATCAAAATAAAATTTTAAGAAGAGCTGGGATGTAACTCGCTGGTAGAGTGCTTGCCTAGCATGCACAAGGCCCTGGGATCGGGGATAAAAAACGGATGGCTAATAGTAAGAACAGGCCATATCAAGTGCTGGTGAGAATGAGAAGCAACTGGAACTCTGGTGCATTGCTGGAAGGGATGCAAAAGGGTGCAGCCATTCTGGAAAAAAAAAAAAAAAAATCTTGGCTGTTTCTTAAAAAGTTAAACATACATGTACCATATGACCTAGTCATTCCACTCAGGTATCCACCTGAGAGGATGAATGTGTTGCGTCCACACAAAGACACATACCCAGACATTCACAGCAACTTTATTTACAATTGTTCAAAGTGGAAACAACACAACAGTCCATCGATCCAAAAATAGATAAACACTGTCCACCCATACACCACTGCATGGAGGGACAATTCGTTCAGCAGCGATAAAGAATAAACTTCTGATACAACAACACTGATGAATTTCAAAAACATGTTAAGGAAAGAAGGCTGCTCCACAACGGCCACATGTACAATCCCGGGGCTGAGGGTGTCACTCAGTGGTAGATCACTTGCCTAGGATGTGTGAGGTGCTGAGTTAGATCCCTGATGCCACAAAAGGTGGCAGGGGAAAGGGGAGGGGACAAATATTGCATTCATATGAAATTTCTAGAAAAGGTAAAACTATAGAGGGCAAAAGCAAGTCAGGATGTCCCTGGGGCTGAGGGTGGGAGCAGGGTGCACTGCAAACAGCTTTGGGGAACTCTTTGGGGTGATGGAACTATTCTAAAACATGGAGTTGGGCTGGGGATGTGGCCAAGTGGTAGAATGCTTGCCTAGCCTGCATGAGGCCCTGGGTTCCATCCCCAGCACCACAAAAAACAATAATAATAAATAACTGGATCGTGGTGACAGATATACAGTTCAACAAATATTAAAATTCAATGAACTGTTCGTTAAAATGTGTAACTGGGGTCTGGGGTTGTGGCTCAGTGGTAGAGCACTTGCCTTGCACATGTGAGGCACTGGGTTCGATTCTCAGCACCACATATAAATAAATAAAGGTACTATGTCCATCAACAACTAAAAAAAATATTTTTTAAATAAGTGAGTTGTATGGTCTGCAATTAATTATACCTCAATAAAGCTGTTTAAAAACAGCCGGGGGGCTGGGGATGTGGCTCAAGCGGTAGCGCGCTCGCCTGGCATGCGTGCGGCCCGGGTTCGATCCTCAGCACCACGTACAAACAAAGATGTTGTGTCCGCCGAAAACTAAAAATAAATATTAAAAATTAAAAAAAAAAAAAACAGCCGGAGTGGGGCACAGTAGCACACACCTGTAATCCCAGCTACCAGGGAGGCTGAGACAAGAGGATTACAATTTTGAGGTCAGCCTTGACAATTTAACAAGATCCTATCCCCAAAATAAAAAGGGCTGTAGATTTGTAGCTCAGAGTTTAATTCCCAGTATCACACACACAAAAAAAATAAATAAATGAATTAGAATTAAAAAGCCCTGTCTCAGGTAATCTCATCTCAGGGCCCAAGACAGAAACCTGAGGTTTGTGGTCCACAAACCCCTTCAGTCTGTCCCTTAGTTGCCACCTCATGCCTGATCACCAAGCCCAACACGCTATACTCTCTGAATATCTCCCCAAATCCTCTAATGTCTCCTTGATCCCTTCTGCAGGTGTCCAGTTTTGCCCCAGCCCCTTTCCCACATTGGAAGTCTGGTTACTCCTCTGGTCACAGATGTCCCTGACTTCCAGGCACTGGCAGTTCAGATTCAGTCCCTTGCCTTCTTGCTGTGTCCACACACTTAAGCCTTAAGGTGCCACTCAGCACCCTTAGGAACAGTCAGAGCCTCTGCCTCCTCTGTGCCCTAGATGGACCATTCCATGCCAGTCTCCAAAGCTGAGTAATGCCCCCAGGCCATCAGGCCATTCCTGCTAGCACCAGCCCAGAGCCCTGCAAGGAGGACCAACTTTATAGCACCCAAGTTGGGACCAACTTCATCATTCATCACACTGACTGAAAATTTTGGCTCCTTCAAGCTTCCTGGCAATGAACAGCCTGAATTTCCTCCTCGGCCAGCCAAGGGTGGTGGGCTGTCCTAGGGGGCTGGGGTGTCTTGAGCCATGCTGGCCTTGCCCAATAGGATAAGAGGGAAGTGGTGCTCCCTAAGGCAGGTATTCCCCTCAGAGATGTGGAACAACACAAAGAAGAATATAAACACCTATAATTTTTGTGCAAATTCTGGGGTTCAAGTAACCCATCTCAAGCCATGGAGAAAGGAGCCTCCTTCTGATCAAAGGGGTGAAATTGGCCCCCTCGTCTAGGGGTAAGACCCTGCATCAAGTCCTTTAGCCCAAGAGGAGGAGGGATTTGAAACCCAGAGATGGGGGGAAGGAGCTCCAAGGAAGAACCCTGTTTTCTGCAGACCCTCCGGGCTCTTTAACAATCTTCTGCTCCCCAACACCCACCTGCATCCCTCAGGATCCCTTGAACCACTATGTCCCCACAGACTCCTTCCTAGCTATCGGGACCTACTGGGACCCCAGATTCCCAGTGACTCTCCTCTCCAGGTTTTCCAGGCCCCTTAGTCCTGGGTTAGGCCCTCAGGTTCACTAGAATCCTCCATTCACAGCCTCCCAGAGCCTCATCCTTCCCAGGACCCCCTTTAGCTACCTTGGGTCTTTCAGCACCCCTCAGGAAGCTCTGAGCCTCAACCTCCTCCTCAGATCCCCAAGATCTCCTCAACACCCTCCAGATTGCCTGTGGCCCCCACTCGGACCCATCTCTGCTTCCTAGACTCGGTGGCATCCCCAGTTCCCCCACAACCCCGTTACGGTCGGGGCCATCCCCAGGAGCCTAGGGCCCAGTGCAGATCCTGGACTGCCCAGCCTGCCTCCAGCTGCCCCATCAGAGGCCCTCGGTCCACACAGTACCCGACGACCTCATAAACCGTCCCCAGGACCCAGGACTCCTACAGATCCCCGGGGCTCCGGGACAGAGGCGCGACCACCCTGCAGGCCGGAACTCACCTGTTCGGGCGCTCGGGGCCCGGGCCTGCGCCGAAGCCGCCACCGCCGCCAGCCCCACCGCCGCTGCCACCGGACTCCGCCATCTTCCCGCCGCGCGCGTTCGAGTGACGGGAGCCGCGCGCGCCGACCGGGTAGACCGAGAAGCCGGGAGCGAAGAGGGGCCGGGCCTGAGGGGGGGGCGGGGCCTAGACGAGATATCGGGGCGGGGCCAAAAGAGGGGGCGTGGTCTGATGGACGGATCGGAGCTCAGCATGCTGAGGGGGCGGGGCATTATGGGAGGGGCCTCCTATTCGGGGGGCGGGGTCAAAACCAGGCCAAAGTGAAAGGTGAGGGATTGAGGCAGAGCCAAGACTGAGGAGGGACGGGGGCGAGAGGGGGGCGCGTGCGGGCTGGGAGGGGCGGGGCCTATTTGAAGGCGGGGCCTGTGTCAGGACCCGGAGAAGGGTTAGGGTAGGGGCAGGGAGAGGGGCGGGGCCAGGTATGATGAGTGGCGGGGCCCAAGATGAAGGGAGGGACCAGGTCTGAAGAGGGTCGGAGCGGATTATCAGAAGGCCAAAGGCAGAGCTGGGGCCGGTCGGACCAGAGAAGGGCGTGGTCTGGTCCCAAGTGGGGCCGGACCAGGGAGGGTCCGAGTCGCGGAGGAGGGGCGTGGCCAAGGGGGGCTGGACCGAGTGCGGAGGGGCGGGCCAAGGCACAGTGACTCCCGGAGAGGGTGAGGGGGGGTCCGTCCTGAAGAAGGGAAGGCCAGGTCTGCGGAGCTCCGGGAGGGCGAGGTGTGAGTGGGCGGAGCCTGGGACGAGGGTGGGGCGTGTCTGGGGTGGGGCTGGGTGTGGTGAGACACCGAGGAGCTGAGAGCCGGGAGGAGGCTAAGGGTAGGGGCGCGGGAGAGGATGCGCTAAGGCGTGCAGAAACTGGTCCCTAAACTCTGACAACCTCACCCTCTCCCCACCACGCACACCCCACTCCCAGCCTTACCCCTTCCGCGGGCCTCCCTCAGAAACTTGGAAACTCATGCCCTGCCAGGTCTCAGACTTTCAACACTATTGGATCCCAACTATTCTCTAAAAGACCCAGAACTTCCCAGAACTTCCACCCTCAGATGCCAGTCTCCTGCCTCAGATCCACCATACTTTCTTCATTCTTTAATTGTGGTTTTTTATACCTCAGTCTCCCCAATCAGATTATCTCCCCATCCTCTACTCAAATCCCCTTCCTACTCCCCCAAATCCCTGCCTATAGGTTCTTCAAACTCACACCATCTGAGTTCATTCCATCAGGCCCAGCACCCTGGGAAAGCTCCAGACCCCAGATACCCCAGTCTTCAGCCAGGGCTCAGTGTCATCTGTGTCTTTCCTTTTTTTGTCTTTGTTCCTGTTTTCCTTCCTCTCCTCCTCTCCCTTCTTTCATCCCTCCCTGCTGTGCACCCTGTGGAGCCAAATCCAACACTTAACACCCCCCCCATACACCCTCCTAGAAAGCATCCAGAGCTCTCAAGGACACCTTCCATCCCTAAACTCTTTGAAAGCCTAGAATCACTGCCTTGGAAGGGTCCAAGCTCCCAGGATCCTTTCTCCAGCCTTGAGCAGATTCACTTTTGCTCTCTGAGTCAGAGCTTCTTTATGCAACCTCGCTCGGATGGGGACCAGGAGTCCAGATGGGGCTCAAAGCTCTCCCTGATTCAGCACTAGGAGAAGAGGGTGTACAGGGCTGAAGACTCTGGAGGAGGGCGTAAGGGGCTTGCTTGAGTGGGCTCCTGCAAGGAGGACCGGGTCCAAGTACTGATCCATCTCCTGCAGAGGTCCAAGTACACAGATGTGCTCAAACACTGTGTAAAATGCCCAGGAGATTACACTGTGGGAGTTGAAAGAAACTGGGTGCTGCTGACCTCTCCAGCACAGTCATCACTGAATAATGCTGAACGCATGCATGCATGAGCCGCTCACGTTCCGGCAAGCTCTGCAGACACGCCCTCGTCCGCCCAAGGTTGGTCCACCATGCAGCCTTTGTTCCAGATGAACTACATGCAGGCAGCAAACCCCACTCAGCAGAGAACTCCAGCTCACACCCCTGCCACACTAGAGTTGAAGTCAATGCTGTCCATATGCATGCACACTTCATAACATCCAGATTTGACCCACATGTCAGGAACACAGCCACAGTCACTGATAAGTAAGAAGAGGTTTGCTGGACTCCTGGCTGCGTGCACACTCGGAGCGTGCTGTAGACCTGCAGCCCTTTGGACACCCTGGGTGCTTGAAGACCATGTGCCATGGGACAGCAAGTGCAAAGGTCCTGAGGCATCAGCATGCCTGGAGAGTTACCTATCAAGCAAAAACAAGGGAGAGGGAAGAGGTGGGAGACTGGGTGGAAGGCATTCTCTGTGTCACTGAGGGTCTTAGGTGTCCCTGTGGAGACATCCTTATGTGTGAAATGAGAGGGGCCATCTCAGTAGAGGGGACTTAATTAACACTGACTTTAACAAACTCCTTTGACATTTGGGGACATTTATTAGGAGGCAAACAATTCAGGCTAAAATTGATGGTGTTCGTCCCAGGGTGGTGACCAGGTAGTGTTGGCTAGAATGCACTTTGCAGGTGTAGCTAATAGGACAGGTGAGATTTGGGGGTGAGGCAGAGCAAAGCCAGGACTCTCTGCAGGGTTCTTGGCCCAAACTGTAGAGGTTGCCTTCTCTGGATGAAGCAGGGTCCAGGGGGTGCCGTGACGGCCCACATGGGTTACTGCACACGCTGCACCCAATAACGATGACCTAGAGCCTAGCAAAGACTGAAGCAGGGACACAGCAGGCAATTCCACAGGCCTGGCCACCATCTGGCCTGCAGCTGGCACAGCTGCCCCAGAGGCAGGGATCTCACCTGCTCCCCTGCTTCCAACCAGCTGTGGGGCTCAGCGCCCCAGGTCGAAGCTTGGCGGCCTCCTCACACCCCCGGGTGTTAGAGGAGGGAATGAAGCCTCAGGGGAGGCCCGGTTTCCCACAGCCTCATGCGGGGGCCAGTGGCCACCCGTTAGGCTGTCACCACCAAATGGTTTCGGAACAAGCCATGAAACACCCAATGGCCCTTTTTGCTTCTTTATAAAATACACAGGTCAACATCGAACAAAAACTCCAGCTATCGCCCTGCATTCTGCGCTCAGTGGTTTTGGGCTCTGAGGCCTCGGGCAGGTCACTCCACCCCGCTGTGCCTGGGGGGCAGGGCTCAGGACGAGTCCTCACCTGCTGTCCCTGTCAGTGTGACTGTTTTCCAGCCCCTAGGCCCATTCTCTGTCCCCAGCCTAGTCTGAATTTTCTTCCCTAGTCTATATTTTACTTTTTTTTTAATTGAGATGAAATCCCCATGATAAAATTCATTAAAACTGTATGATTCTGTGTTTTTAAAATAATTTTTATTTTATTTTTTAAATATTTTCTTAGCTGTCCATTGACAACTAAGGAAATGTTTTAAATGGGCTTTATTTTACTTATTAATATGCAGCCCTGAGGATCGAACCCAGGGCCTCACGCATGCTAGGCAAGCGCTCTACCACAGAGCCACAACCTCAGGCCTTCTTTTATGTTTTATTCGTTTATTTCTCACTTTCCCAGAACTAGGGATTGAAGCCAGGGACCTGTGCTTGCTGGGCATGTACCCTTCCACTGAACTTCGTCTACAGTCCCACAGGGTTTGTTTTTTGTGTTTTTTTGTTTGTGTGTTTTTTGTTTTTTATGGTACTGGGGATTGAACCCAGGGGTGCTCAACCACTGAGCCACATCACCAGCCCTTTTTTTAATATTTTATTTAGAGATAGGGTCTTGCTGAGTTGCTTAGGGCCTTGCTAAGTTGCTGAGGCTGGCTTTGAACTCATGATCCTTCTACCTCAGCCTCCTGGGCCGCTGGCCCATAAGGGTTTAGTACATTCAGAATGCCATGAAACCACCTCCCCTAATGTGAGGCAGATCATTTCAACACCCTCGAAAGGAAATCTAGTTCTCATAAAATCACGCCCTGCTCTCCTCCTAGCTCTTGGAAACTCCTAATCCACTTTCTGCCTTCTGTGGTTGCCTGTGCTGAACATTCCCTGTCTGTGTGCTCCCACACCCTGCGGCCTCTGGCCTGGCTTCTTTCACTCAGCATCATGTTTTCGAGGTTCATCCATGTGGCAGCCTGCGTCAGTACTTTGCTCCTTTTGATGGCTGAGTAATGTTCCACCGTGTGATTGGGCCATATTTTGTTCATTCATTCATCCGTTGATGAGCATTTGGGTTGTTTCCACTTTTCAGCTGCTGTGAACTTTTGAGTATGAGGATTTGTTGACTCCCTGTTTTCAGTTCTCTTGGGCGGATACCTAGGAGCGGAATTTCTGGCTCATCGGGTGGTTCTATGTTCAAATTTTTGAGGAATTGTCAGACATTTTCCTTTTTTTTTTTTTCTTTCTTTTTGCTTATCGTCCACCCCCACTGAAATGTCAGCTCCCCAAGGAATGGATGCTGTTTTCTTCCTGGCTGCTTCGCTGCTGGACAGCACCAAGCACGTTAGGTGAGCACGTGGGGCTCGGATGAATCACTGAGGCTCTTGGGCAATAGCTCTTGGATTCGCTGGGTGGTCTCAATTTCCATGCATGGGAAGTGGGAACCAGTGAATTCAATTCTTCCCTTTGCAAGAACGTGTCCCCCCAGCCTGGGGGAGCAGCTCAGTATTAGAGTGTGTGCCTAACACATGTGGGGCCCTGGGTTCAATCCCCAGCACCAGGAGCCAGGTTGTGGCACATACCTGTAATCCCAGCTGCTCAGGAGGCTGAGCCCAGACAACTACAAATTCAAGGCCAGCAGGGGCCATCTAATGAGACCCTGTCTCAAAAAACAACAAAAATCAAAATAAAACTCCAACACCAACACACACACACACACACACACACACACACATACTAAGAATTAGTCACCCTTTCTACTAAAACACCCAGAGCCCACAACTCCAGCCCAATATATAAATTCTTGATGTCCACCATGTATATCAAAGAATGTAGTTCTGTACTTCTGTCTTCCAGAGCCACTCAAGGGCTGGGATCAAGCACAGAGAGGGCGAGGGACTCCTAGTCATACAGCAC